CAATCTTCTCAGGAACTCTATAGTGTCGAATACGTTTTCACAATGTTCTCCTATCTACACTGTCAAACACCTTTTCATAATCAGTAAAATTGATGTATAGCTACGAGTTACATTCAATTGATTGTTCGACGATGATCCGTCTGTGCACGACAAATCCATACGGAATCCAGTCTGTTGATCTCGAAGTTGGGCGTCTACTGCGTCTTTCCTCTGGTTCAGCAACACTCTGCTGAAAACTTTCCCTGGTACTGATAGTAGTGTGATGCCTCTATATTCTCATATTTGCTCAGATCTCCTTTCTTTGGTATTTTGATAAAGTGTCCTTCTTTCCAATGTGTCGGTGGCACTTGACCCTCCTTCCAAATCTTCTTGAATAGTCACATTAATTAACAAATAAATGTTTGCAATATTCTTTATATTTATATTCCATGACCGAGTGCAAATTATTTAAGTAAGAACTCAAATATTCCTGAATAAACAGTTACGTACCTGAATTAGCTGGGATATATAATAACAAAATATAATAGAACTGAATAGACACAATTAGACTGAACTAATAGTGATACTGGAATAACACTGGAATTAGATCTCTTCAATTGATTTGGATTTATTTTGAGACCAACACTTCTATTGTAATGAAATAAATACAAGACTGAGTTAGACTGATCATATCCACATTGTAGTGAAATTAATTCGAACTATCCAAAGTATCAACTAGTCAGAGTGTCTCCAATAGTTATAGATCAAGATAACAATGGATATATGACTATTAATAGATGGGCAGAAAGGTGACTAATCAAAAGTGATCCTTATACACATAGTTCCCTTTATCTCTTTGTTTTGAAGGGAGCAAGAAGAAAGGTTTGTACAGAATAACATGAATTCATTTTATTTCGTTTAGTTCTCGCAAGCTACTTACAACCTGTGATGTTTAAAAATCCTGATTACAAAATGGATTCAAACTACTTACATGAAGTAATTTAGTTCTAAGTAACTTTGAAGATGCGAGGTAAAACCCAACTCCTACGCCCTGGATATTAGGACTTGTCCCATGAACTAACGTGAGCAGTAAACTGGGTGGTAGAGTTCGGACTAATCAATCACTCAACCAATACCCATAAACAATTACAAGTGCTGTAAAGAAAAATAGCACAGATGCTGGTTTAAACAGCTTTTTTAACTTTGAAGTAAAGTACGAGTGTAAGCAAACTTGATGGACTGAATAAATATTGTAAATATATACCTTATTTAAAAAAACAGTCTATAACTTTGATAGTAACAGAAGTCTAAAGTGCTAGAAATAATTAGTACGTGCACAGGAGATATTGAGAGAATTCACACATAGGGTATCTGAATTCGTCAGACAACTCATCACAAGTTAACTAATCGAATTAAATTAATACATTTGACAGCCATTTGCTCAATTTGATATCGTATTCCAAAATCATTTAATCACACATTGTCGTACAATGATTAAAATTAGGTGTTACCACCCTTGGTTTCCGCCTCAGCAGTTTGGATGTTAAGTATTTACTCGTGAGATCGAAGGTCTTAGGTTCGAATATTGCATGTGGGACCGTTGATACACATTATTGAGAGGTCCAATTCTAGGAAGAAACGGCCATCCAATGCTTCCAGATTTTTCAATGGTGGTCTAACATTGATCGTTTCATGATCTCAATAAAATCAATTCATCTTAAAAATATGGTGAGAGGAACGTTGTCGTCTATTGTGTTTTAACTTCCAATTGAGAAGATATATGACGATAATAAAACCTGTAAATGTACTGCAGTATTAAAAATTAGATAGCAATCCAAGGACCTGATATTATTGATTTGTTGGAAGAAGTTCAATAATCAGTTCCAGAGCATGTACTACTTATGTACCTGCTTCAATATTACCATCAATTATATATCAATCTTGTTAGGCGATGAAAACCTGTGGAATTTTTAGGGAAGTACATCATTCGGATGAATATTATGTCTTTTACTAATTACTATTCATCAGCAAGTATTATCTGAAACGTTATTTATGAAACAGGTATCTAGACAATACATTTATAAATGAATATAGATGAAAGCTAAGTGACTGATCTAATTAGATGTGATTTTCTTAGTTCTTCAGTCTATATAAGTTTTCTGAATAACCTTTAAAAATAATCCATAACACTTTATACTACTTATTAATATGTTTAGTAACATCAGTTGTAACAATTTAATAAGGTCAATGAACTTATTATTGCTTTTTCAACTTACAATTACGGTATTCATCATTACCTTCGATGATTTTAGCCCATGTAATTTAAAATCTCAACAGTTATTATTTTAATAGTTGAGATCATGAGTCAATTGAAGCTAGATTACCATGGAAAACCTGAATGCACTGGAAGGCCGTTTCGTTCTAATATGGGACTCCTCAGTAGTGCGCATCTGCAATCCGGCCACACGAGATTCGAACCCAGGGTCTATCGGTCTTGCGCGCAAACGCTTAACCTCTAGATCATTGAACTGCTATCCAATGGTGTTAATGTTTAACTTCAACTAATCCTTAACACAAATTCAATTGTTGTATCGATTATTTCAAAAATGTTTTCATGGAATTGTTACCTTTTACAAAGAAAAACAAGGGTATTAGAATTTTTGAAAGGTTTTATTTACTTCATTATTGTATTAGTTCATGTGCTTCTGTTTTCTTATAATCTTGCTTTATGTCATCACTTTTGTTTATTTAGTTTTTCTCATGTCAACACAGTGTGATTTTACCGAAACTCTTATATATTATAAATAACATAATGATGTACACTTTGGAATGAATGTTTTATTCTAATTTAGTATTTCATTAATTAATTAGAATCCGCATTAGAAACGTTGAAATACATTCAATTCAGTAGTTGACATGTATACGACTTTATATTCAAACAACAACAACAACAATATCATTAGAACAACACATACATAAGTGAACAATATTGTTTTCAATTAGATCGTCATCAGGCTTTACTCTAATATACATGAATATTTATACGAAAATGTTAAACCAATCAAGGCAATATGGGTCAATAACCACTATGAGATAGAATAAGTCACTACACATAATAGGTAAAAGTACAAGTTGATAGTAGTAGGAAGACAGGTGAACTGATAATAGTAAGAATAATCTTAAATACGATAACAAAACTCTTATCAATAGTTAATCGTTGGCAATAGAAGGTCAAACAAACATGGGTAAATAGACTAGGAATAGTAATCACAAAACATTAAAAATCATTACGTAATGAGATGTGTGTAGATAATTAGATAGTGAAGAATACAAAGAGGCGGAACATTACAAACAAATAATGGATGTCTTCCTACTATCAACTTGTACTTTTACCTATTATGTGTAGTGACTTATTCTATTTCATTGTGATTATTGACCCATATTGCCTTGATTGGTTTAAAATTTTCGTATAAATATTCATGTATATTAGAGTAAAGCCTGATGACGATCTAATTGAAAACAATATTGTTCACTTATGTATGTGTTGTTCTACTTTTCACAATGGGAATCTTTAATATTCAACAGTATCATTATCATCGGTGTCATCTTGTGTATTGTATAGTGAATAACCTTTCAAAATGACATGGTGGATAATAAGTAGTGTGGTGGATGAAAACAAAAGTGGGGATAAACAAATGCGAATGAATAGAAAATTACATAATTTGTTAGTAAAATCTGAGAACCATATAGTAAATACATCATTTGCAAAATATCAGTCGATCATCTTAGACTTTATTGTTCTTTCGTTTCCACATTAATCATTCTCTGCTCTCATTCTCTTTACTTCGATTTTCTTAATCTTCTGCTGCCAGGCATTTCACTTTCGATTGGTAATACATACTACTTATATCTGTCAACATCAGTAACACACACCACAATATAGTTGTTAGAATGTGTTTTTCTTATTATTTAGGGATTAAAATAATGGACTGTTTAATGATATTTGATCAGTTTGAGAATCAGATCTCCTTATGATTCGTTACAATGAAAATGTAATATGCTGATGACTTTTATTGCTAACTTGATGATTACGATGAAATCTATTATGTTGGAATTGTCGATCTTCATAGAGCACATCACAACTCTATCTTCGTTAGTAAACTCTTAATACAGGCTTAATCTTGGTATGTAACTCTTCAGCAATCTACTTACAAAACAGAATCAGAAGTTACGTAGCAAGACTAAACAACTATTTAGTATTCTAGTAACCCCCAGGCTAAATCTACACAGCAACTTGAACATGAGAGAAAAGGAGTGAAACATAGAAGGAACGCTTTACTCCAAAAGTTCATTTATGGCACAGGAAATCTAGTGTATTTATAACATTTTAGACGGTCTTGGGCTTCTAGAAAATTCTGAAACGCTATTACACATAGTAACACCATAATCATTCAACCAGAAACTCGATATGTGACGTTTCACTTTCTAGGTGTTTCTGGTACAACTTTTATTAAATGTTGATTGCATAATATATTTCTCAACGTTTCCAGATCCTTTTATTGTTTTTTGTTTTCAAGATCACTCCCAACAGATTTTTCACCAGTTACAGAAAAAAAAAGAATCTGTATTAGTCCCGTCAACGATCATCTCTCAAGAATTGATAATCAATATCATTTATCAGTAATAAATCATTTGACATTTGAAAAGCAAATCTATGACGCATTCAGTACTATTTCCCATCATTATAAATTGACAAGCAAATAAAACAACCAATTAGAATGTCTGAAAACATTTTTAACGAAAGGTAAACATAACCCAAGGTTATTTCACAAGAATGAACCAATCATAATTCAAATCAAATTATTGACCCAATCATTCAAACACCTATTAATCGATAATATATATATATATATATATATATATATATATATATATATATATATATATATATTATTAAGAGACATGTCAATCAGATAACATGTATTATATATGATGTTGTACATGATTATTATTTAATACAAATGACAAAGACATTATCTTTGATTCTTCAACCATTCAGTATTCTATTCATTAGTTTAGCTTTAATAATAAATCATTGGAATTGTGGCGGATTATTTACATCATGTTTAAGAAATTATCAAACCACTTCAATATTATTAATATTATTCTTTTTTCTTGGTATAGTACTTTTAACTATTGCATTTATACTTGATTTAATAACTATCTGTTCTGAATCACTTGATTCAAATGCTTCATATTCTACAATTCGTTTCATTATATTAATATGTGGTTTAATGAATATACTTTTAGCTATTCTTATTTATTCATTACAAATAGATCGTCAATTTTCTCGTTTATTATGTACAATTGGTATTGTATTTACAATACAAGTTGCTTTACTTAATTTATTATTCTCTTCTTGTATTCATAGAAATCATCATTCTGAACCAATAGTTCATTGAATGGATGAATAATTCATATATTCTATGTAAGTTATTCTGTTTGTATGTTGATATTACATTCCATTAATTCTTTATTAAGTTTTAAAGCTTCATGTTTAAACTTATTGCTAACATTGTTGTTGTTATTGTGTTTTTTTTTTTCATAACAACTACCTGGTTCTAGTTTATACTTTATTCCCCACCCCATCCTACCCCCCATTAAGCTATGTATTTATATATTCTTTTACATTATAATGCTAGTATTTTACTTACAATATAAATACTGTTATATCTGACTTTTCACTATATAATCCATTCTGTTTTAGTGATCGACTGATATGAACGATATTAAAAAAAAACAACCCATTAAAGATCAAAACCTTTGCTATTTGCTGTTGCACAGCTACTTTACTCACTACTAGCTTAGAATCTTCTTTATGTGATTTAGTACGAAGTAGTTAACTAATGATATACTTAATCTCGACACAATACTGTCGTTCATGTTTAAAGCTTGTCAAATAACATGTGAATTTTAAAAAGAATCTGAATACTACCATTTATTTGAATTAACATAGGTTTTTAACCAGAACTATTTATCTTTACTAACAGTTAGCTTGACAAAGCTTTAAATCATAAACTGGCCACTATTAAAAATCAGGAAGCAATGGGTAGTTGTTCCGTCCTAGTATGAGCCTCCTCACCAGTCCACGTCTGTGACCTCGCTATAGAGATTCAAACTCAGGACTTTCAGTCTGGTACACGATCGCCTAACCCACAGATTACTGAACCGACATCCATTTGTGTACATAATTAATGTCAGTCCATTTACAGTATTGTGTTACCATGATACCCTATTTTGATAATAATCAAACTGGTTAAATTAATCCACTAGATTAATCTAAGCCACTCATTGTAATTTGGTAACCAAGTCCCGACACATACAACTAACCTCCAGTCACATTTTCATTTTGTAGTTTAATAATGCTATCCAAAATGAGGTAGATAAAGTGGTTTATGTAGACGCAATTTAGTCAATGAGAGCCGCGTAATTTAAAAGCTGGGCCACTCAGACAGATTTCGAATAATAGAAACTTTTATTTATGGACTATGTAGTATGCCTACGTTGTTTTATTTGAGTGAATACATTCATATCATCCGTATACTAAGAACTTACCTTATCTAAATAATTAGATTCATTCATGCTCTTTTGTTTACATTTGTCTTTATGATATAAATCTCTCTCCGTAAACAAAGTATATCATAGATGATTTAATACTGTCATGAAACATTATGACAGCGTCTCAAAAATGAAAAATGTTTCTTACCGAAACGAAGGATTCGATATATGTGATGTCCTCTTTTTGCTTCTTTCCCATCTCTCTCAAATCTTGTACTTAGTAGAAGATATTTCATTCGCACCTAACTTTCATCAGCTCATCCTGGTTTATAGGGTTAAACAAAATAAGAATAGAACAAATCGGTTCTGGGTATTCACAATGAATCGAGTTTATACATATGGCCAGTTACATTCAGCGTACAATCCGGAACAAATATGTACCACCCCAAGTTCTTAGAAATGAGATATTAATGTTATTATTGTGTAACCTTTTAAAACAAAATCGGTTAACTGAGTACAGATGAGATAATAAGTAAGGATGAATGATTAGTATCAAGAGAGGAGTTGTGTTATATCCTAGTAAAGACTAAGTTACGGGTAACTTTTGTGAACTATTAATGGACTAATATTATCTATATATTCTTATGGTATAACTATTCAGTAATTAGATGATATATATCTATATTCCTCTTATTATGAGCTTCATTTTCACTTATAGACTATTATGATACGATATACTATTCTTAAATTATGTTCAGTTTTAAAATTACTGTTTCCCACGTTCACAGCCACTTTTTGGCTTGATCTTGTACAAATATTATTTCCTATTTTATGGTGTAATGTGCTCTTTTTGTCTTGTATATAAACCAAGTGTTTGAGATAAATGATTCGCATAGTGAAAGCTGTTATTGGTGTTCTGGACTCAACTGGCAGGGCTAGAAGGACAAAGGACCAATAAGGACACTAGTTTGCTCATACCGGTTGGAAGTCATTGGTTTGGCACACTACTAAGATTGTATAAGTCGTATATCGATTAACGAATAAATCATGCGATAATTAGCCGGGCTTGATGTCATAAGCTGCTTAATCAACATTTATGAAATTAACCGGATGAAAAACAAAGGAAGTGAATTAGTGGTAACATCAGAAAGAGCGAAAAAGAGTCAGAATTGAAAAATGAAGTTAGAGACGAAGCGGATAATCACTTATGTTTTAGGTGATCTCTATTAATTTGTCTAAAGCAGATATGAAAAGGATGAATAACAGCTGGAAAGGATTGCCCAGGACAGGGTTGGATGGAGAGTGCTGGTGGGCGGCCTATGCTTCTCGACGAGGAGTAACAGGCGTAAGTAAGTAAGTATTAATGTGTCATATTTTGTGCATAAGTGTACTGCTCTATTACGAAAAATCGATTCTGTTCAACAATCAGTTTGTCTTCTAATATCATTTCATTTAAGAGTTGGCATTAATAGTTCTTTCTTAAGATGACCACGTTGTATCTTTGTACATTATTCTTAAAATTTTAATAACTCCAAACGTGTTCATTATACTTCAAAACAATCCTACTGTAGTGATTTGGAATAAAACTGGTTTGTCAGGGTTATGAATTGAACTAAGCATTGATTACTGCTACTGATCTAATTATTTGCTATGATTGCGGAATAACTTCCACCTGCTACTCATTGAAACGTAACAAGAGTGGTTTATCAATATACGGAAAAAAAATGTGTTGAAGATTACTTTACTCATGAGCCATTAATTAAAAGACATCCAGAACAATAAATAATGATAAATATCACTTGGTATTGTTCACTTGAATCTTCCCACTATCCATCTTTGCTTATAATGCTTGTGAATTAAGGCAATATCGAGGCAATACACATAGTGTGTACATATGCCAATAAGAGACTGATCAATTGCAGTCCTAAACAACAATGGGAAGATTCAATTGAACAATAACAAGTGAATTTAAACTTCACCCCATTGCACAAGCAGGTGGCTATTAGGACTCAGTAGCTAGATGGTTAACACAATGGCGTTTGAAGAGAATGGTACTGGGTTCGAGTCCCAGAGTGGACATCAACTCAGGTGCAAGTACATCCAGAGTCATAAATAGGACGAAATGTGCGTATTGGATTGCACAGTTAGCCACTATCCGTCTTTGCTTATAACAATAAATATAGTTTTATATGTCTAATCAATTTTGAACTTATAATTAATTAATAGTCTAATGTATGCATATAATTTCTAAAATCATTAAATGGACTTACTTGGCTGAGAAATATATTATTCGTCACTAAATTACGTTTATTTTCTTAACAACTTCTCCTACAAAAATATATTTGAACTTCAACTAGACAATTGTTTATCCTTTGTTTTCGTTTATACATATCTGGCATAGGCATAAAATATCAGATTATCTCATACTTGTGAAGTATACATTTATGTTAATTACCTTAATTTTTATGGTGTTAGAATACATTAGGATAGGAGTGTGGAAAACTATACAGTTTACACGATTTGTAATGATATTTAATCCATACGACTGTATTGTAGTGTAACATTTTTAAGGTCATTATCATTTTCACATCTGGCCAAGTTATTTCTCATTGATTATATATATATATATATTAGGACGGGCTGGCGCAACTATTGGACAGGCCATCTCAGCCATGAACTTGAATAAGTTGAGTGCATGATCGCTTCTCCCTAGAGGTGGTAGAAAAGTCATTCAGTCGATATCATCACCGTGTGAAGACTAAGTCCAAGAGAGACTAAGAGCTTCTTCAGCATATCTGATAGGGTCTCTAATGTCCTGTAATAAAGCTAATGCAATGGAGGTTCTAACAGTTTGTAATCAAATGACGTTGTCGATGACCCTATTTCTAAGTTTACCCGGTTGATATACGGTGCATTAAAGTCGCCTACTTCAAGGCTTCTACACCTATTACACCAGGACTTAAGTTGGCTTAGGAGGAAGTCATCTACTACACATTCTGGACTGCGGTATACTACAACTAATTCAATACCTTACCGTTTACATTTCAGCCTGCAACTTACCAGTTTACATGTCCCTGCGTCGTGTGCCACCGTCTCAAAAGCTCGTATGGTTAAAGTACTTTTTGTGTGCTAGATAACCCCACATCCCCTACTGTTTAATCTATCAGACCTAATGGATAAAATACCAGTCAACTGGATTTCATTATCAAACACTTCTGACGCTAACCAAGTTTCTGGGACAGCAATGACATCCGGTTTTCCTTTATCCACCATTGACTTGAGCTCCGCCATTTTATTTAGTAGGCTGCGAGCGTTTGTGTAGCACACCTTTAATTTTGTGAAGAACTTTCTCTTACCACTCAGATTGGTTTGGGGATCGTTTTTCTTCGAACGTTCACAATCTGAAAACTCTTAAGTACTAGATTTCTTTCACCGTTTCGGCGGTGCTCATTTATTCCTACTTCTGCCGACCGTCTCTTAATACGATCAGCTAAGCTGAGATCCTCACGGTCGTATATTCCGGATCCAATCATTTTGCGCGAGTTTTCCAGTATCAGGTTTCTTTCTTCAGCCGAAGCAAAGGTAACCTTTAAGAGGCGGCTTTTATGCGTACTTCCAGAATCCACCTTCTGTCATATTCTATAAAGCTTACAGACGCCAACTACTGAAACTGTTTCTGGGAGTAGCTTGCTTATTAAGGACTTAATGTGACCGAAGTCGTGCTCAAATCCAGCCTCCGGTTCCTTATCGGAAGATTCTCTTAACTAATGAAAAATGACTGGCCTGCCAGCTAGGTCTGTTTTAACACAGAAATTTTAATTCTTGAAATCTTCTCTTCCCTGCAATCTGATTCCGAATTGGCATCAAACGCAGAGGTCTTACTCTGTTTGCTTACTTTTCTTTT